CCCTCCAGGGCCGCGATGGAGCGCACGACTCCAGCCACCAGCAGAGGGCGCAATGGCGCCGTGGGGACGTGAGGCGGCCCCGACCCGCTAGTACTCTTGCCAAGGATTGGATTTCAGTTTCTCTGGTCTCATGAGGAAATACTTCACTATTTCTCAAGGATCCTCACCCACAGGCTTGCTTTCTTCTCTTGAGGTCATCCTTTTGCACAGACAGGAAGCTTTGTTTATGTTCACTTGAAATCTTGCTGCTAGGAGATTTCTGCAGCTCTGCGGTCACTTAAAACAACAAAGCTAATTGACCCAGAAGTTGGATAATCAGAAAGTGGAAATAAGTTTTTGATAAAGCCTTGACTGAAAAAAAGCAAAATAGCATGACTAACTGGGGTAACCAGAAGGCTTGGAAGCTGGAACAGTGTTTTTCAGACTGTTCTGGATACACAGAAGTTGGTCGTTAAGTACTTGCCCGTGGTGTGATGAGACCAGTATTCTGAAAAACTAAGAGAGGCTGAAACAAAATGGAATAAAACAACATAGAATAGATTCGTTTTAAATTCATGTGCAGCCCAAGATTCACTGCTTAGGAATGATTTAATTTTCCCGAAAGATCTAACTGGAAGGCGGGGAGCATAAGTAAATCTTACTGATAACAACAGAGAGGAGGGAAGAGAATACAGAGGAGGACATGAGTGTCCCAGAGGGTTGGGGAGGGGAGCCCTGAGGCTCCTGGCTCCCTGGGAGGCAAGATTCCCTGGGGCTCAGTTAAGGGACCTGTGTTAGTCTAATAAAGCAGTTGAAGCCAGTGATCGATTGAGAAACATTGCACCCACTGAGAAAAGGAAAAGGAAAAAGTCACACTCCACCATCCTCACATTTTTCTCTAACTACGACTGCAGCTTGGTGTTCCCCAGTTTTCAGTTGGGGTGATGTAACTGACCTGTAAGTATTTCAATAGGGACAGCTGGCTAGCTAGTTGTAGAAAGGTTTTACTTGCTAGATGGATTTTTTTTTAATGAGTAATTTTCACATGAACAAAATGGATTTAGGTTTCAAAATCAAGAATGAAACTGATTCCAGGAACTTCTGATATTTGCAACAGTCAACTTTTTCCTGGTGGACACAGAGGGAAGGGACTGCCCTAGTTAGGCACAGGACCCACAGCGGTGCCCCCCCAATCTCTCCATCCAATTTTTCTTTATGACTGAAATTAACTGGGTGTCTAGAAGCCCAACTCCTGCCGATGCTGCAGCAAGGATCTGATGGCGTAGAGGAAGACAGACACAGCTCCAGCGCCTGGCGATCTGCCCACGTCTCCTACAAGCGTTTCCCAGGCAGGTGTGTGAGTGCTCCCCATAACCTTAGCCCCGTTCCCGGCCTGAATCAGGAAACATGTCCTTCTAGGGTGGAGGTAGGTAGGGACTAGAGGCCTCCGGATGAAAACAAAAACGTGCTCATCCTGTTGTTCCAATCTTCCAGTGGTATATCTCTCTGGATTCTGTTTCTTTTGCTATTCTTTCTTGTCCAGTAAAATCTCCTGGTAATTGCAGAATTCAGGCCTTTCGTAGCATCCAGAAGGTCAGGCCCGAGTAGGAAAACACAGGCAATCTATCACTGATGAGACAATCTCCAAGGGACAGTGACTCCAGAGGACAAGTTCTAAGTTTCCCGTCCAGGTGGAGAATCTCTTAGAGGACTAGGGTTTCACTTTTTAATCAAATATTATCCCTTCAAAGCCCTCTGAGTATCGGTGGGGGAATGCTTGAGCCAGAGCTCCAGCCATGAAGGACTCAGACAAGGTCCGTGTGAGGTTTGAGGCCCCCAGAGTTTAGACCCAGAAGAGCCAAGGGCACTTCTGGTCACTTATTCCAGACTTTGCAGATTGGCCATGTATCAATGTAAAACAGACTTTATTTTAGAAGAAAACTAGGGAAGAATGTTCCACTATCTTAAATTTCCAGACACAGCCCTGGATAAGTCACTATGTGATAGAGGAAAATTTATAAATAGGAAGCAGCATTAAGAGCTGAGGCGCGACACAACAGGAAGTCCTCTGAGTCACTGCAGGGCCTGGGCAAGGATGGAGGCATCCATGGGCTGTGGCCCCATGCTCTGTCACCCACAGTGGCCAGATGGCCCCTTGTGACACCCTGATAATCTCTCAAGCACTTTCACACAGGTGTCTTCATCTCGGTTTATCATCCGAGAAAAGACCAAACCTTCCTGGACCCTTTATTTCATTTGACTTAGTCTTTCTCACAGCATTTGCAGGAAGAGACCCAAGGAAGTGGGATTTGTGACTGACCCCATTGCTGCTATAGGAAGTTGAGCCGGAGTTAACTGAAGGACTTAACACCTGCATTTCATCTTCAACACCACCTCTCTCACCCTTGTCCCCCTAGGTTCCCCCAGAATATTCCACCCACCTCTAAGGCCTAGGGCGGAACCCACATTTATCTCACCAAGCCCAGCTGACGATGTGTGGGCAAGAAAGCCGGCAGTGGCCTTCAGCTTCCACCTGACGCTCATTCTGTCCACTGATACCTGACCATGCAGATTTGGGTGAGAACGCATCAGTTACAGTTGACTATTTCAAACCCCTACTTACCTACTTACATTTCAATGGTAAAGTTTGATTCGTTCAAATGTTTGTGTTTTCATTTAGTGTGTGATTTACACCTTAATCTTCCACAGCTTAATTATGTGTTCAACTACTGGGATCAAAGAAGAAAGCAGACCCACAGAAGGTGTACATACACATCTTAAGGACTGCATTGCGGATCATGGAACCTGTGTTTGGATGGATTTGACTAAAGCCTCCATCAGGACTTCATCAGGACTTAGCCTTTTCCTTAATGGGGTAATTAATGGTTTCCCTATCTTAGGTTAAGGGTTACATAAAAGTTTTGCAGGTCATTTTCTCCCACTACCATCCCAAATAATGAGTGTTCTGAACCCTGCTACAGAAATTCCACAAGGCTCTGAAGGAAACAGAGCCTTTGGGAAAAATTATTGGTCACTCCAAGAGGGCTGGGTTGAAATAAATGGCAAGAAGGGGACACCCTCCTGTACCCTAACAGGCTAGTGGAATCATAGTTGTTAAGTGTCTCTAAAATGCCACTGCTATTGAGAAAATAGACTTCTGTGTAGAATATAAAATTAATTTTAATAACAAAAATTATAGTGTGCCAATATAATGGTTGATATAATAGCATTCATAAAGAATTCGTGTATACTTTACATACTTTTAAACTACAAGAAACTGGTGTTCACTGAATATGGTCATTCACTAGCAAGTGGCTCACTGCTAGAAATCCATTTTCTCAAATTTATAGGTACCGCAGGAACCCCTGGAGAGACACACCCCAAGATCTCACACTCCCTACTGACTTTCAGGCTGTTCTGTGTCTCTTCACCCCTTGGAGGGAAATGGCTGAGAAGGAAGGGGCAAGCTGAGGGCAAGATAATAAACAATGTACAATACTAGAGTCACCATGGACCACAAATCCTAAAACACCAGCATGAGCTCCTCATCACTTAAGAGCCCACCACGCACCACACCATCCACAGTCTGTGAAGAAGGACAAGCCCAGATCCCCTCAACCAGCCAGTCTCCCCACTCTCTCCCAGGGCCACTATTATCCTGCTCATGCCTCACACTCCCTCTGCACAACGGCTGTGTCTCTCCAACCCTCACTGACCTTTTATTGAGGTCATACCTTTGTCCTCTGCAGTTACCATCACAAAATGCCACAGACTGGGTAGCTTACAGATAACAAGTTTATTTCTACAGCTCTGGAAACTAGAAACCTGAGCCCAGGAGCCAGTATGGTCAGGTGAGGCTCTTCATCCTGGTGACTGATTTCTTTCTTGTATCCTTGCATGCTGGCATATGCAAAGGAACGTCCTTGCATGTTGGCATATGTGAAGTTCTCTTTCATGGGAGACCCTGTCCCATCAGAAGGGCTCCACACTTGGTCCATGACCCAGTCACCTTCCAAGGCCCCAACTCCTAGTACCAGGACAATGGGGTTAGGCTGGCCACATTTGACTTTGGAAAGACAAAAACATTCAGGCCATCGCAGGGCATTTATAAAGGGTCGCTGTTGTCAATCACAGACTCAGGGGACTGGACTATAACTCAGCTCCTCAAGTTAGAGTCTTTGAAAGTGGCAGCAAAAAATGCCTTGTGACTTGTTAAATCACAAATAGACTTGAGATGAGGATATTCTAGCTGATAGGTTATTTTGCTTTAACTGGACCAGAATTGCATATTTCAGTAGAGGACTTGTGACTCTCACATGTTGCTTAGATTCTGGTTGATACAGGTCAGTTGGAAAAAGATGTGAATGTTTAGTAATATTGATTCGATTTGACAGATAAGGACTTTAAAAGCATGGGGCCCTGAGGGGAGGTGATTTCTAGACAATCCCAGAGATACCCCTACTGGCCCCCACTGATCTAAGTAACCTCTAAGTCATTTCCAGAGCCAATGTGCTAAGATTGTGGCCACAGTCATTTATTTGCGCCGAGAAGTCAGAGAAGCTTATGGACGCAGCAAATATTCCCCTGTGGACAGTGACCCAGGGTGACAAAAGTACTGTTATCCTTGCCCCAAGCTCACAGTCTGTGGCCCCCTGAGGACTGCAGCTTCCATCTCAAGCCCCACGGATGCCACACATCAAGTGCCAAGCTTCCCGACATCTGAACTGCACCTCAACCTCCCTCAGAATCCCATTCCCTAGGGACGCAAATGCTAAAGCTGCTCCATGTTCAGTGTATATTCATGAGTTTTCAGAACCAATATGTCATTAAGAGTCTTCTGGGGAGGTGGTAATAAGGAAACACCTCTCATCAAAAAAAGCAAACAAGCACAGGCTCTCCCACAAGAACAAGGCAGCAAGCTTCACGAGGATGATCCAAGTGCGATGCATCCTTGTCCAACTTTGAGCCTCCCCATGAAACAAGCTCTCCAGGAGGGGGCGATGAGCCCACTTGGCCTTGCACTAACCTGCCGTGAGGTCACAGGGCATGTGCTTCAGCAACTGGGTAGGAGAAGATGGCGGGTACCTTTTGGGCGGCATGTGGTATCTGACTTTTTTCCAAAACTTGGTCTTTGCACACTGGGACTGCTCTATGGAGTCCCTGCTCCACTGGAGGGCCCCGTGCTTCTGTTTGATGTACTGGATTGACTCTGGCATGACTGTGTAGTCCTTGATCTTCCCCAATTCAATCAGAATGACCTTCATTCCATCTTGGATGAGAGCATTATAGACTGCAATTTGTTCTTCTGACATGTTGTTTAACAGGTCAAAGCTCAGCAAATCAGGTGCTAAGACTATGATCAGTCTCCTGCAAAGTTTAATGTTTTCATCAATGACACTGGCCACAGCTGAAAATAGAGAAGAAAAAGAACATCTCACTATCAAGACAGTTTGGGTCTTATGCAACTGAGGATATAAGAAATGGGTACTGAGAAAATAAAATAGGCTTTTTTAAAAAACATGACCCTCAAATATGGATTAACAAAATTATCTTTAACATTTATCTCTTTCTGTGTAACCTTTCTGGTTTCCCTGAAAGTGTGATCCTCTATATTCATAAATCATATCTTTTGGTAGCCAATGACTAGAAGGTTATTTTCTTCAGCCCATCTGGTGCAAGTACAGACCAAGACTGCCCAGAACAAGGATGACTGACTTTGAAACTCCAGACTTAGCTGAAGGTCGTATATGTTAGATACTGAATAGAATTTTAAAAAATAAATAGGTATTAGGCCCTCCCTAGTGGTGCAGCAGGTAAAGCACAGCACTAACAAGCTAAAGCCACTTCAGCACAAGTTAGAAATTAAATATACCCTAATGACTTATTGGAGAGGGGACAGGAAGGCTATTGAAATATCAAAACAGGCAAATATGCATATACTGATGGTTCTTTAATTGCCTCCCATAGGCTATAAGAACAGACTCACCAATAGTAAGTTCTTTAATTTACTTTTTTATTTCTACTGCCTAGAACATAGTAGCTGCTCAATAAAGATAGGTTGAATGAGTGAATGAATGAATATAGACAGATTTTTGAAATGAAGAACCTTCCACATGTTTTTGACAAGCACTGGATAAACTTTGTATTTTCCCCTGGAGGATGATTTCATGACTTGAAATATGTAACCTAAATACAGTTGTAGCCTCACTATGAATATGAGAAAGCACATAGAAACTTTTTTTAATGACTCAGAGTATAACCCTACCAATTGCTAATTATCTTGATCCTAGTGACTAAAAAAAAAAGGATATTTATTTCAAATTTTACTCATTTACTGTGCAGTATTCAAAGAAAAGAACATAAAATACAAAAGGGATATTTTCATGCATTGAGTGTCTAATATGTGCTAAGTTCCATGTTCAGGTTTTGCCTCATTTGATTCTGTAAATTAAGTCAGAGAAGCATCCTTGTCCTCATGAGACAACCAAAGCTCAGAGACATCATATGTAAATGTGTAGGGCAAATTACATAGAAGTAAATAAAGAATTTCTTTTTTATTTACATAAAAAATGAATGGGTGAGTTGAGATTATGTAAAATTGGTTTTAAACATGAGCTGATTTACATATTCAAACCAACAGAAACCACTCAGCAGTTAATCTCAAAGACAGGAGGACAAATGACCAGTTATCTCCTTCCAATCTCTTTACTAAGACTATGTCGTAAGTAACCCGTTCGTGTGGATGGGCTAACCATGTCCTTCTCCAAAGTAAGAGTCATGTTTTAGTACCCAGGAATCTCAGTTATGGGAACAAACCTAAGGAGAGAAGAGAGGTTGGTCCTAAATCTCTAGGCTCGAGGGCTATCAGGCAGGGAGGTTCTGGCAAAATTTCCCTGTGGTTTTGTGGTTTAAAAAAAGGAGGGGGAGGCACTGCTTTCTTTTTTGTTCATTTGTTATTTTCATACCTCATTTAAAACATACCTTGCCCAGGAAATTCATCCCTACCAAAAATGAATAGCTTATATCCACATTGCCTTTCCAGCACCCCAGGCAGGATCTTTAACACCAGTGTATCCATATCATGGCTCTGAGTTTCTCTTTGAGTCTTGGGGTATAGGACATATGCATCATACAATTTCCCATCTGAAAAGGAAATTTGACAAGTTTATGGAATTCTTGGTAACAAAATCTCTTATGTTAAAACAAAACTTGCTATCATGATGCCCTTTTCGTGTGAGTTTGATGACAAATATTAAGTTTCATTGTCACCAGTGTCTCAGATCCTGCTACTGGTGTCTTTCTTTATCCCTCCTCCCTTTCCCCCTTCACACACACACCCTTCCCTCACACACACACACTTTGTGTCTGACTTTAAAAGAAGACAAAACAAAAACAATGCTATTGTTGCTAAGTGAATTCTCTCTTGGTAGTATTTGATGTTCCTGATTTTAAAGTTTTGTATTTCTTTTAAAGATTTATTTATTTATTCATACAGAATTGGGGTACAGGCTAGAGATGCGGAGGGTGAGAGGAGGATTCACCAGAGACAGAGTGGGGAGCAGAACAGGCAGATCGGCGAAATACACTGCTGAGGGGAGCAGCAGCGAGTCAGGAGAGGTCTGCCCCGCCATGTGGATCTCCTCCGGGGCAGGCAGGGATCGAACTCATGCGGAAGTGGCTTAAGCTTCTTAGTGCAGTGCTTTAACCCACTGCACCACCAGGGAGGGCCCAGATGTTCCTGATTTTAAATGGGGCATCAGAGATACAGATATGCCTTGCTTTGTAAGGTGCAAACTCAGGGAGATAGGATTTTTAGTAGCAAGACAACTTCACACCTTTTAAAATTTCATAAAAATATTCCCAATTTTGGCCTTCCCTGGTGACGCAGCGAGCTAAAACACAGCACAAAGAAGCTAAAGCCACTTCAGCATGAGTTCAATCCCAGCCCTGGGAAGTGACC